GAAGATTTGGAGCAAGATCAGATAGGAGTGATAGTGGATAGATCAAGGCAACTGGAGATGTCGATTGACATTACATATGGGCTGTTTATTTTGTATAATAATAGTGTTGTAGCATACGTACGAACTATAGTGGTTATGTCCCCATTCACATAAATACAGTAGTAAATACTGTATGTTGGTCTGCAGATGGAGATTCATTGTGGAATTCACTACTACCAGTTTACTACTACTTCTATGCACCACTGGCTAATCTTATATGTGTTGTTCTTGTCCTAAGTATTATCGTTCATTACCAACCTTCGTGTGATTATTCTATTCAGTAACCTTCCCTAGGTTACAACAAATAGCTTCTAGAGTTTTTAGTCTTTCCTTGCATTGGGTACTGTAGAGTATTTTGGTGTTATCTACTAATATTTATCTTATGCAGATAGTTGCATTTTGGTCATTTATAATGTGCTGGTCAATGTGTGCACAATTGCACTGAGTTTCAAGAGGTGACAGACATTTTGCTATAAAGAAATGGTTAACTAGTGTTACAGACCATTAGCAATTAAATTAATTCAGTCGGCACTAAGTGTTTCCTATCTGCCATTTTTTATCAAACAGAACTATATTATACACCACATGTCAGATATGAATCCATAAATATGCATTAAATTTGTGGCCAAGGGTGTTGCATTTCCTTTTAATCTATCTTGTTAAAATATCAAAAGAAATCCACCAAAGACAGACCTTTTTATTCAAAAGGAACAGGGAAGTGCATGAAAATTTTGTGTTTAATTCTATAGTTGAATTTGCAAAGTAAATAATAAAAAAAACGGCTCAAACAAAACAAGACTTCCTCACCTAAACTAGGCATAAAAAATGCAAAAAAAGGGAAAAACATGCATTTTAACAGCACACAAGAAATAAACATCAAGATACTTGCAACCCCCAGGGATGAACAGGTGCATTTTTGACACAACCAATTAAATTCAAGAAGCATATCACATGACTCAAAACATGCAAATATGAACAACAAAAAACAACAATGCATAACACTTAGCTAAATAACAATAATAATATCATTTTTTCCATCGCTTCAGAAGACTGTGTTACTTGTCTCTGCAAATATTCTACGAAAAGTGCTTTCTGATATTGTACAACTTGATGGAGAACACTCACAATGCAAGATCTCTGATTGGAAATGAAAAACCATATAAATATAAATTATAAACCATATAAATAAATATTGATGTATTTCGAGTTAAACAAGCATTAATTCATCGCTTGTGACCTGTATCACATAATCAATTATATATTAGTAGTTTGGATCCCATTTCTGGTGGACTACAAATATTTTTCATCATCATAATTAATATTAAGATGTAGACAAAGGAATTCTGCCTACCACACAGATACTGCATTGGTTCTTGAAAATGATTGAGATGGTCAAAAGTACTTGAACAAAACAACACCACAACATACATGAACTTTGGACAGTTTAGACATAATTTTGATCATAATAAAAAACACTTTTTTAATCATTTCACCCTAAACAAGGCAATAATGCCACCAAGACAAGGGATTACTGGAAGTGAAATAGAATGAGAAAACTTTACTGTGGAGAAAGGATTATAAAATAATAGAATTCAGGAAACAGAAGATTGTGATTGTGATTGATGTGGCATTTAAATTTTTAAAAGATTGAAGGTGTCAGGAAAGCAAGAAACTGGAAGTGAATTCTACAGGTAAGAAGAGCAAGAAAAGAAACTGTCAGAATAGAAGAGATGGTTCTATCTAGTTATTTCAATGTCAGTTGCTATCTTCCATCTTTCTGAGCCCTATTCCTTTATTGTCTTAACTCCTCCTCACTAAAGTCTTCTCTTTCTCTTTTGCTTCTTGCATCCCACTGCATCATAGTGACATTATTGCCTTGCTTGGGTTGAAATGATTAAAAAGAAAATAAATTAATTGAAAAAAAAAAATAAATAAAATGAATATAAACCTTACAAAGCCTGTTTCATTTGTATTTTTTTTTAATTCAATGATCATTGTGTATTGTTGTATATAGATATAAATATCAATGAAGTTTTACTTGTCAAATACTCCATATGTTCTTTTCTCAGCTAGAGCTTTTAATTATTATTAAAATAATGAGGAAAAATGAAATTTTACATGACTAAAATATTTTCTTAGAATTGAAGTTTCCATGAAAATAAATAAGCAAGTGGTGGGGTGAACAACCTCAGGTATGGATGGAATTTTTTTCAAAAATTAATACATAGACAAGTACAGTTATTACAGATTTGAGAGTATTTCCTTGACACACAACTTTTAAAATTCAAATTATAATATGAAGCATTATCATCATTCCATGAGTTATTGTGACTAGCATCCTTTGTTGTTTTGATAATTTTATTTGTCTGAGTGCACGTGGTATCCAATATTCTTATAAGAAATGGCAATATCATTTTGAAACATTGGTTCTAATACAATCACCAAAATTAAGCAATGTTGAGCTTGGTCAATACCTAAATGGGTGGCTGTTTAGGAATACCAGGTGTTATAAGCTTGGCTATGTAGTTAGTGTAATGGATAATGACTTGGAACTGGAGATTGAAGAGCCAAGTTCCAATTCCAGTCAGGCTCTTTAATTCATTTACACTCAAATTTCCTTGGGAAAGGCATGAATCCATCTCTTCTCCTCGCAGCTATGGATTAATTAGTAAGACTTGTATCAGTAAATCATGATTATCTCCAAAAAAATATATTCTTACAATCTGAAACAAAATTTTTCTGATTTTAAATAACCAGAAAAAAGTTGATAAAGTTTAAATGTTTAAACATTTCATTTCTAAAACACAACTTTTACCCACTGCTGAACAACATTGAACCAAGTAAAAAAACAAATGGGAATTGTAATATGCAATGATATTTGTAAAAAATTGCTGCAAAGTGCACCAGATCTTAGTTTGCCATTAGCTATCAATGTAGCATCTGATTCATGCCAGCAAAAACCAGAGTTTTGGATTGAATGTAGTGTCCATCAGAAAACTTCCTCTAAGAAGAGTTGATCGGTGGTGACCCCAATATATACTGGGTTGATCATAAAAAATACCAAAGTAAGTTTTGTAATCACACGTGAGAAGGTCAGAAGTAATTTTTAGGGGAAAATAAAAAAAAAGCTTTTTTTGAGATAATAATGATTTAGTGATACAAGTCTTACTAATTAACCCATAGCTGGGGGGGAGATGAGTTGGATTCATACCTTTCCCAAAAGCAATTGCACATAAGTGAATATAACTAACCCAACTGGAATTGGAACTCCGCACTCTGATTAAAAATTTCAAGCCATTATTTATTACACCACCAGCACCTCCAAGCTTACAGCACCTGGTATTCCTAAGCAGCTGGTATTTCCATCTAGGTACTGATCAGGATCAGTGTTGCTTAATTTCAGTAATCATACAGGAACCAGTGCTCCAACATGCCGTAACCATAAGCCATATTTGAAGAAAATAAAATGTATATTAAAAAGAACATAAACTTGGAGCCGGATTTAGATGAAGTAAAGTCCTAGGCTATTCCATTTGGGAGACCCCTTCAAATCCTGAATTCTCATGAATAGAGGAAAACAGAAGTGTGTTAAATTAAACAAAGTAAAGTCAAGAATGATGATGGGGGTTTAAAATTACTGAAGAGTTGTTTAGGGTCTAGAATGCATTATGACAGCATTTGTAAGAAGGGCTTATGACAGTGTTGAAAACATTATACATCTTGGCTAGAGTTCCCCTAGATTTTGAGGCCCTAGGCTTCTGCCTGATATTCCATAGGTAAATCCGGCACTGCATATACTTAAGCCTTTAATAGTATTTTGAAAAATATAAAGAATTGGTTTAAAAGCCATCAAAGTCATATCCTAAGAGTAAAATAACAAATAAAAAAAAAATTTTGTTCTTAAGTCAAATATATGCCTTATATCTAAAAATCCAAACTTTAAATAATTTTTATTTACATTTAAATTCGGTTTAATATCCTCATCTTTGATGTTATCACAGCATTTTGGCTGTTGTCTTCTCCAGCCTTCTTCCGGTTTCTGTTGATTAACCTGGTGGGGGTAGATTATTCGTGTTTCATTGACCAAGTATATCTCATTTTGTTATTATTTAGTACTCCTCATTCAGGTCTCACAGAGTCTAAGTCTGCACTGCCTGGTTCAGGGATTGAACTCAAAATTACTATCACCAATTTCATGATCTAATGATTTAGTCATCTAGGCTATTGTCTCATGGGGCATTTTTTTTTAAATCTGAGTTCTGTAAAATATTTTCAGAATAAGTTTACTAAGTCAAGTTGAAAAGTTCATAATGATAACAGAAAAAGAAATTGATGTGAAGATTTTGTAGCACCAATCTTTCATGTTGTGGTGATTTAGGGTCTGGCAAGACACAACACTTACCTCGACAAAGTCAGTCGTGATAGTAGTATTTAATACTAAGCTAGACTAGTTACTGCAATAGTATATCATCTCCCTAGACTACTTATCATGAATGGATCAGTCCATTCATGACAGTAAGGAGGGTAATAGGCTCTTACCACAACACAAGTAAAGAGAACATGCGTGTCTTGAAAATCAGGATCTGAAATCCTGGAATTTTATTTGTTTCAAACACCAACTGCTCACACCAATGTATAAATACCAAACTACCATAGCCACTGTGTCAGTTAATACTTTTGGTATTAAATGTTAATTTTCAGAAAATCTATGCAATAATTATTTTGAAATGCAAACAGGAATAAGAAAAAAAGAAAATTAAAATTTTTAAAAGTATTTAAAGAAAAAAAAAAATATTCAAGTACTGAAATCAGAAAATATGCGAATGTCAAATAAATTTTCCATATTAATCCCCCTAGTGAAATAGGGGTGGGCACCCACTCATCCACCAGACACCTGTACAGGTAGGGAAAGAGGAAATACAGTCTGTGTGCATATGTCTGTACACAGGAAAGTGACCTACCGACAGAAAACGTTTCTTCATAAGCATTTGTGAATGGAGGGAGGTTAAAGTTGATCGTAAAGTCTCCTGTGGAGGAAAGACCTGGGGTAACACAGCTGGCGGTGATGGCATTGTTTACAATGCATGGGAATGTCTTGTTGATTTCCTTGAATACTGCATCAAAGGTTTTTGCTCTCGGAAAGCAAGGCCCGGAAATAGTGAGATGCTGCCCTCCAAGCATGTGTCCAGATCTTGGAGTCACAGAAAATTTTTCTGAAAAAAAAAAAAAAAAAAAAAAATATTAAAATGAAGTGAAAATTAATTTTGCAGATTAAGAAAAAAAATTATTTCTGTGATTTTAAAATAAATAATTTTTTTTTTAACAATGATGTTCAAGAGCCACTCAATATAGAGGTTTACAGAGTAAGAGGCATCAACCCATGCAAGGAAATAATGCCTCCAAATTATAGGAGGCTACCAGAAAAAGAGAAGGTAAAGGCTTTAGAAGAAACTCAATCCTAAACAGGAAATAAGGGATACACCTCTGCACCTGTTTAAAAGACTGGGGAGGATTGTAAACTGGGTGATAGCCAAACCTATCTACTCCTATAGAGGAAAGAAAAAAATTAAATCAAACATTTTTAGGCAGAGGCTTAGAAATTTTCATATTTTTTTCTGGTTTTCATTTAAAGGGTATCTATAGAAGTTCTGTCCAAAACTGTTAAGGAATTATAACAAAAAATCTTGGAAAAAAATTAATTTTCTTGAGATTTTAAATTTAAGATTTATTAAAGCAAAATTAAGTTTTTGAAGTATTCCAAGTCCTCAATTTTTTTTTATGTTTGGTTTAAACCTGGAAAAAAGAACAAGATTTGGATAGAAACACACATGGAAACAACCAATTCTGAAAGTTTTAAATATTTATTAAAATTTCAATGTATTTTCTCCCGTTTCTAATTGTTTTATTTTCTTTCACAGTGCTTCAGCCAGTTCCTTATACCCTCTTCTTCAGGCAAGATTTTAATAAACAAAGTGTTATTGAGTTTTTGTACTTGTTTAATGTCCTAGTGTTACTGTAGAACTTTGTAAGTCAGTCAAACCTCATTGAAAATCACAGACTGGAGAATATAAAAAGAAATGTGTAGTACCAAACTTTGCATCTGATAAATTGTCATTTGATAAAAGTTAGAGACTTCACTGTGTCAAATATCAAAGAATAAAAATGTTTTAAATTCTAAATATCAGGTGTGTTCAAATGTTTCCAGCAATTTCCTGAAAAAATAGTTTAAAAAAAAGTCTTTCACAATATATGCATGTTTTCTCAGATTGACGATTAAAATTTGCCTCAAGCAAGTGAAGTGTGCAAGTCTTAGCAAGGACTATACTTCCTTGAACCGTGTGGACTGGCATGACAGGATCACAAGCAAAGAACTGTACCAAACAACAGACACCACATCACTTGAGGACTTTCAGCAGCAGCAACAACTAAACTGGATAGCACATGGAACTTAAAGAGAAAATGATGATATAATCAAAATACTGATGTTCTGCAGTACTTCAAACAAAAGGCAAGGAACAAAGCTCTCATCAATTCTGGAAAGAGTGATAACAGCTACTGGACATAAGACACCTATTTTCCTGAAAAATAATCCCAAGAGAAAGATCTTATAAATTTCAACTGACAGTAGCACTGGTTGCTCAGTGAATGAATGCCAAATGTTTCCTTATATATATATATATATATATATATATATATATATAATCATTACTTTATGCTGGCAATTTATTTGGATAATAATCATTTCATAATATTCATTGTCAGGTATAAATTTAAGTGGGAAAGAGAAAAGAATTTATGATGGTAGAAGTCAAAGTAAAAAGAGATGAAAAGAAGCTTGAGTAGGTGTAAATCATTTTATTATAACTTAAAATATTTTAGCTTAAATTAAAGACAAAATCAGTATCTATATCTGGATGTGCATGTAGTGCAAAAGTCTGTTGCATTAACTTTCACACAAATGTCCTTGAATAATGCATAAATCCATCTCTCTCCCCCTAGCTATAGGTTACACAGCAGTGTAGACTGGGATCTTCAATCCAAGAGTAGGAAAACTGAATTCTAAACCATAGAAAAAGGAATGGAAAAGCCCCATCTTCCCAAGAAATTATGGCAATTCAGATTTAAAATAATAATTAATCTGTGGAGAGCCATGTTCAACTACATTCCAAAGGCACTTGAAAATATATATATATATATATATATATATATATATATATATATATATATATGTGTGTGTGTGTGTGTGTGTGCTGATGTAATAGGAAAGACCAGTTAGATTGATGGAACAAAGTTCTTTAGTATTCTTTTGTATTTTTGTTTTGATTTTTAAAAAACAGTGCTCGATACAGAAGTAAAGCTTACATGAATTTAAAATAAGATGGAGACTACATCAAAGCACTTTCAATAATATTAGACATCCCTATTTAAATATTTTTGGCATTTAAAAGAAACAAATAAAACACCAACAGTAAAATAGAAATCTTATCTTACTTATTATAAAACGCAGGTTGTGTGTGTGTGTGTGTGTGTGTGTGTGTCTGTCTGTAACGTTTATATGTTGGATCGAATTTCCTACATTTTTTAGCCGATTTCAACAAAACTTCACAGGACTACATAAAATTACCTTGTGGTGGTTCTAACGGGGCCGAAAATGGGAAAAATACAGTTGTTTTTTAATAAAATCAATTTGAAAACACGATTAAGACACATCGTGAGAATGAAAGGGGGAGAACTCACCCACGAAAATGTAAACAAAAGAGCATAGCATGATGAAAAAGACGCCGAACTTGACGAAAACAAAATTTTATCGTCTAATGTTCATATTATTAAAGAGGAAAGATCAAAGTATTTTGGGGGTATTGTTTTACATTTTTTAATCATTCCTAGCACGTCTGAAATTTTCGTTAAAAATATTGTTTTTTTTTTTGTAAAAAAAGAGGGCAGATAATCATTTTCAATCATTTATTTCGATTTGATAAAAAAGATTAAAATCATACTTTGATATTCTTTTAAAACTCATTTATTATCATTTTTTCAAAACTTCAAAACTTTAATAAAAACAGATATTATACTGTTTATTTAAAATATTTTGAACCAAGCTTAACTTAGCTTCTGCGCCAAAAAAATGTAATTTGAAAATAAAACAAAGCAGGTCATAACCTTTCGCGTCGCTTGACGATTGACGAAAGGCACATTCATGACGTTTAGATAACTTACGGGAGGAGAATACTTTCTACGGATGGAAGGAAGTGAAATTATTTAAGTGAACAAATTATTTACCTTGTTACTTTTAAGGAAAACTTTCAGCGCTCTAATTGTTTATCTAATTTATTTTTTTTTTTTTTTTGTACTTAGCTTTCATTTTTACGTTTACGATGCTTTATGGAAAATATAAAGAAATTAAAAAATAAGACTGTTAATAGTGAGATTAAATTTCATAAGAAAAAGGTATCTAATTAATTTAGGTACCTTTCTTATGAAATTTTATCAGAAGTGTACATAAAATACTATAATTTTATGTACATTTATTACATTTTACTGTGTTATTTGTATTTCCATTCATTTTATTATTAATTTTGATATTTCATTTATGGAAAAATGTCATAACTGAGATTAATATAAAAATAAGATCATATAAATTAAAGTTTAGCAGTAGTTAAATTTCATAAGATGATACTGTTACTTGTAGGTACCCTTCTTAGTTGAAATTGAAAACTCAAATTAACTTCTCCATACGTGTTTCAAAAAAAGTAAAGGGCTTAACAGCGAGAGAACAATGCTGAACTCAAATAATGCAACTAAATTGTATTCTGGTTGGTCTTCCGTACTTGATAATTACTGTCCGACTATAAACACAGAAATTACATTTCTTAATTACCATGGCTAATCTGATTGGTCCAAATTATACAATTTTCAAAGCGCTAGACAATGACAATCTCACACGGACATTTTGAAAGGTTAATGTTGCTTTTAACTAATGTTAAAATATTTTTAAAATTCAATTTAAACATTTTTTAAAAATCTTTTTTAAATTAAAGAAATAAGAAATACTTGTATTAAAAAAATTCAATTTTCATTGAAAAAATTTTTTTTGCTTTCAGAAAATATTGTCCATATTCATAAAACAAATTAAAACAAATAAAAGCATTTGAAACTAAATAATATATTTGTTTTATTGAGTTTTGTATGTTACAATTCACAGCTGATTTTCAGGTACATTGGCCAAAAAACAAAAAAAAAAAAAAAAAAAAAACATGATTTGCATTCTTCAAAGCCTTGTGCTTTTTAACTATTGTAATCACTAAAACCGATGGTCTCGAATTTCTAGAGTTTTTCATAAAATTAGTTATTGTTAATAAATATAAAAAATTTTCTGGCATGACTTTAATAAAAAAAAATATTTATAATAATTTCGATCATCTGTGAATAGTTTCTGAAAGTTTCATTAACATCTGACAATTATTTTTATTTTTGCAAGATTTTCCAAATTAATGTGTAAATACAAAAAATGCGCTAAAATTATCTATGTTATTTACTACCCCTTGTTGCGACAAAGAGAAACAAGGTTTTTAAATCAAAATTTAGAATATTCTAAAAAGATGGAAAAATTTTTTAAAAATAATTAAAAAAAAATAAGCATTTTGACGATAAAATTTTGTTTTCATAAACTTTGGTGTCTTTTTCATCAGATTATGCTCTATGTTTTAGCGATTCCGTGGAGTGACTTAGGTTAAAAACCCAGGTTGTTTATGTGTGTGTGTGTGTGTTCCTTTATATATGGGATCAGATTTCTTACATTTTCAGCCGATAAAACAAACATCCACTTTTTTTTTCGGCAGGTAGTATTTCTTATTGTCTTGCACACTTTTTTCTTTTATTTACATTCAGAATGCTTTAAAAAATTCCATTTACAAGACGATTGTTTATAATAAAATTCTATTCACCAATCGATGAACTCATAACGATTGTAAACAATGTTTTGTTTGAATTTGGGTTTGACCAATTCGTAAAAAAAAAACTAATTAAGACATGCGTGTCCGTCAACCTTAAACAATAATCTTTGTCAATTTTATTTTTCAGTCTTTATGATGGTCGATACTTGATCTATCTCTTACTGTTACATCCCCGGGCAACGCCGGGCTCTACTGCTAGTTAATAAATAGAACAAGAACTTGTAGAACCTGGGATGACCCATGCCCTTTATATCTGCATG